GCCCCACCACAATCCCTTCTCCTCTATTTTCCTCTTGGGATCTTGGGCACGCACTCACACACAAACCCAGCGTGAGTTTAAGCCACCGGGTCTGGGACTCAAACCGCAGTCAACTACATGGGAGTCCAGCGACATTATGCCAACTGCTGGTGCCGAGTGATGGGATGGCTTTTTTCCCCTTTATTTTTGCCAGAGGACATGGTGCTTGCTAGAGAGAAATAGAGAGAGGGAAAGTGAGAAGCCACCCCTATGGGGAATGATCACACTGCCATCCTGTAATCACTTCTTTCTGGATTTTGGGCGTGCGCGCGCGGACACACACACACACACACACACACACACACACACACAAACTGGCATGTTCCTCAAACTGCTAGATCCGGGACTGAAATTGTGGTGAGCCCTGTGGGATTCAGCCATCTTGACTACCATGCCATGGGCTGGTCCCAGTGATGAGTTTTTAATGGGTAGATCTGAGTAAATGTGCAACCTGCCAAGGTATGTATTTGAGGTTCACAGAGTTTCTTAGAAACAAAATTCCATTTCTTAAAGTTTTAATGCCGAGAAATGCTCAAGATTTTTCAGACTTTTTCAATGTGCATTTTCATTTCAATCTCAATAATAAAAAAGTAGAAAAAGCTTATTAGGGAGCCCCTTATAACCACGTAGTACATAATTTTAGTGTTTCTATTATTGTGAGAACTTTTAGTCTCTTACACTGTATCAAATCATAAAGCAAAGTTAGAGGGTCCAGCTTCGAAGGTGATGTTTCTCACCTTAGCATCCATGGACTTCTGGAGGTTTGAAGATACTCTCCTGGTGTCTGTGATTTCTCAAGTTTGAGAAATACGACCTCAACCTAAAGACTGAATTAAATAGAAGAGGGGAATTATGGATTTAGACACTATTACAAGTGCATCTTTGTGTCCTTTTCAGACAACACCAAGAACTGCCATTCCTCCTCCACATAAGCTCAGCAGGGTGCTTCACAAACAGGAAAAGCAATACTAGTGTGTCTGGGAAAGTCAAAGACTAGTTTCAAACAGACCTGGCTCAGGTTTGGGTTCTGGCTTCAGCTCTTACTGGCTGGTCCTTTGACTTTCTACACCTCAGGGAGGGCTGAAGAGTCAATAAAATAATACACATAAAGTTCTATCACTATGCTACTCTGTATCTGGCCCACCGGTCTTGCTTAATAACAGCTATACCCTCTGTACTCAGTGATGAAAGTGAAATCGAGATCTTCTGACACTAAAATCTATGATTTTACCTATATCATTCTGTGCTGCCTTGGAAGAAAATCAACAGTAAAAATAACTCAGAGAGAAATGACTTTTACTATGTCTCTTTGTTTCCCCAAGTATATTAACTGTCAATGAAGAAAATAAAATATGTGCATTAGCTTTGCCATTGCAGTGGCCTAAAAGGCATTTTGAACTCATCTAATAGAAACAATTTAATGTATTCAGTTCCCCAAAACTTGGAAAAGTTGAAATACAAAATGAAGGGAACACAAAGTCACATAATCTCATTTCCAGAGTCACTCTCAGTCTTAGCCCCACACAGCTGTTACACTGGGAATTATCCAATTGCACACAGATAGATCTCTTTCCATTCATTCGGATAATTCTGGATTCCTTTCAGAGGATGCATAATGCCAGTGCAGAAGTATAAAGACTCACTAAACGGTCATCCGAAGGAAAGATTCAATCCACCACAACAGCTGCTCATCAGAAACACTGCAAAGCTTCCTTTATCAGCCATATGTTTCTTCCTGACATTGTTGAAATTTCAAATTATAGTGGATATTTTTTATTCAGACATAGTATTAAAACATTTTATGAATTGTGCTATTCAAAAAAATGGCAGACCTTGAAATATAAAGAGATAAAAACAACTTCTGGCTATATACGTTACATATATGTGAGTAGAAATCTTGCCAGTCTATTTCATAATTGAAGTTACAAGGTCAGGAGACAGAATTAATTTGAGAAATTATGCCAGCATCTAGCTTCACATTACTCAACTTCTGAAGCTGCATTGAATCAGAATGATCATTTCAGTGTTGAGTTAAATGTAGGAGAATCATTAAAGCACAGGAGACTTCAGTGCAGGCTTGACTAGGTTTACATGCTGCCTCTACCCCTTGTAACTCTGTGGCCTTAAATTGCTTCGTCCCTCCCAGGTCAGATGGGCATAACGGTATTACCTTTCTCATAGAATTGCTTTGGAACATTGAGTCCATCTGTAAAAATTGCTTCACCCATCACCTGAGTTATCATGAGCACTGTATAAGTTATAGTTATCTTTAACTACTATATCCCAGAAATGTATTCTTACATTGTTTTGGAAAATTAATTGTAGTACAGTTTGGTGTCCTTGTAATCTCTTGGGATTAACTTGGAAGACTTTTGAAAGCCTTTCCTACAGACACCTCAGTTTTTCTATACTTTCCGTACAGATTTGATCAATAGCTATTCAACATTCACTTTTGTTAATAAAATATTTCATTTAAAATTCATTCTAGAATATGAACAACTCTCTGTTGAAATACCATGAGTGCAAGAGTTGAGCCTTTCTCCCCTTTACAGTCCTGGTAGTCCGTACCGTGCTGGGCCAGTGCAGGCATTTACTCACTATGTGTCGAGTGGACGAGAGATATGGAGTAAAATAACGATTTTTAGTAAGAGTGGATGGACTTAGGCTTCTTTGAATCTTTTATTCTTTTTTTTGTACAGATAATATTTTCTGTTGTATCCCAAATCAAGATCAGTTTTCCAAAAGTAAACTATGCAAGGTTTAAATGTTACAGTGATTTTCTGCATTCTAAACTCTAACCATACCATCCTCCTTGACTTGCTGACATATTAAGTTATGTGGTGTTAAAAAAAGGACCTATGAAAACATAGCCTCTTTTTTTTTTTTTTAAGGAATCATTTATTTTATTTATTTTTGTTCACTATAGGGCACAGGTGCTCACCAGAGAGGAATAAAATAGGAAAGCAAGCCACCAGGTTCGAATTGCAGTCAGTCATGTGGGAGTCATTGCCATAATTGCCACGCCACCTGTTGGCCCCAAAAATGTAATCTCTTTTGCAATGACAAAATAATATTAATAAAAAGTCAACATAATTTATTAGAAGGGGTACGGCAGTGGGGCTAGCCCTGTTGCTTAGTGGTTAAGGAGAAGATCCCACATGGCCAACCAGTCTGAATCCCTGTGATTTGAAAAATAAATTGTCCATGGAGCCAGCAGATGGTGTAGTGCTTAATGCACCGGACTCCCACAAGGTTGGCTTGTGGTTCAAGTCCCAGACCTCATGGCTGAAACTCACGCTGGGTACATGTGCATGTGTGCCCAAAATCCTGAGAAGAAAATAGAGGAGAAGCAGTTGTGGCATGGCCATCCCCTCTAGGAAGTGATTTCATGCTGTCTCTTCAGTGAACACACACACACACAATGGCAAAAATCTCTTTAAAAGAAAAACAAAAACAAAAAACAAACATACTCTGGATGTGTGTGTGTGTGCCCCAAATCCTAACGGAATGGAGCAATGGGAAAGGGATTGTGGTGGAACTTTGCCTCATGTTTTGTAAACTATCTAAGCCCTATTATGACTCTTAGGATCACATGATCATATTGACTCTTTTATTACATTTCTCTCAAGCCTTCTCTCTCTTCCTTTCTCTCTGTAGTGACTGCACATGCCTTCTGGCACAAAGAAAAAAGGAAAAAAGTACAGCAATGATTTTCAGACTAAAGATTCAGGTGCAATTGGTATGGGGTGAGACACTATACTCCATAGTGTTAGATATACTAGACGATTTTGAATATCAGGGTTTGAGAAAAATTGAAGTAGTAATAATAAAGTCTAACATGTATTGAGTCTATACACTATTCTAGCTACTGTTTAAATGTTAAATACTCTGTTTAATTAGTTTAACCCTCCAACACATACTTATGCTAGAATTCACACTGAGGGAGTGTGCCACCAAAGCCCTGGCTCTTGCTGGTGTGCTCTGAAAGACATTGGGGCTCAGATAATTGGGAAAAGCAGGCAGTCTATGAAATTTAGTTTCTTTAATTATAAGTTCAATATTTATTTATTTGATACAAGAAATAAATGTAAAATTTACCAATATGTATTGAAAGTGTTTTGCACATACATATAAATATGCATATTTGTTGTTTTCTTGCTGTTAGACTGATCAATTATTTTCATCTAAAAGGAAATATATTTTCTTTCCAATATCAAATAGATTTCTATAAAGCACCAAAAGGAAATCAATTGTTTTCCTGTGAAGTCATGACTAATAATCACCATTAGACCTTCCTAATGCTTGAACTAGGGATGTGTTGATATATCTTGAACTTTAAGTGTGTTTCAAATTATGGTCTACCCATGGGACACTTACATTAGCCAACTCATGCTGATCTTTAAGGCTATATGACAAAAAATGTTACCCATATCATATTTGGCATCTTATAATTAACATCTCTGATAGACTCATTTCACCGTGATACTAAAATCTAATAATTAAAGCAAAAAGAAATGCCGACCAGCAGTTTACCACAAAGTTTTGTAAAATATCTAGGCTTCCATCATGACTCAGGATTACATTGTTGTGTTGATTCTTTTATTACATTTATCTCAAGTCATGATGCAGTTGAGTCAATAAGTTATTTCTTTTTAGGTTTTACTGATTAATAATAAACTTAAAATTGAATTATTTGAGCAATATTGATTTTATGGCCTAATATATAATAATTATTATTATTACTGTTACTATTATTAGTGCCATAGAGCTGTGCTCACATGCATGTTCAAGACAGAGAACCAGCCAGTAGGGCATAATCGTGCCTCCATCCTTTTTCTTTTAATTCCCAATTCCAACAGGATCGTAGATACTCACAGGCTGGAATGTGAACCCTCAGTTGGCCATGTGGGTTCCACCTTCCTCTGCACAGTACTGGGCTCCAGGGCCAGCCCAATCAATATATTATTGATTTGTGAAACATTTAGCTTTATCATTCTTAAAATTCTCATTTGGATTTTTCAGGTAACACCACACTTACCAAAATCTGAAATTGTAGTATAATCATTCTTTCATTTAACCCAAAATTGACATGTGCTGATGTTGTATCTTGTAGCGTGCTAGATTTGTGTGGGATTAAAAGACAAATACAACATAGCACATACTATAATCTTTCTTTTCTAATTCAATGGGGGGGGGAGGGATCCCTGACCCCCAGGAAAGGAATTTTGTTAAATGTTCTGTTGTTGGCATTTTTTTCCTCTTTTTGTAAGGTAAGCTTAAGGTATTGTTGCTATTGCTCTGCAGGAGAAACTCTGTTAGAATCTTTAATCTACAAAACAGCAGTTTTAATTGAACCGCTAGCAATTCCACTGCGAATTAGACTGTAAACATGCTGTTATGGTGCTTCTTGGACTTTGAGAAAGAGAGAAATGGGCTCCCACAGCAAAGAGAAATTTCCTTCAGTGAGGAGGTAAACAGAAAGCTATGGGAGCCACATTCACCCCCATGGAGATAGAGGCATTGCTTTCTGCCTCTCCCTGCTTCTTAGAAAACAGCTGAAAAGCACTATTTTCTCGAGTGTACATTTTAAACTTTACCATGGTTTCCACTACTGCTGTTCTGGAAAGGAACAGATAGACTTTAAGCCAGAGACTGGTAGACCAAGATGAAGATAGTTCATTAAATACTGATCTCAGTTCAATTCCAGAACTGTTAAAAGCTATTTTTCTGTGTCTGAAGGGATTTGACATTGATAAACTCATATGCAAAGAAATTAATAAGGTATTATATGAACATTTATAATGTAAATTTGAGCCTTTAAAATATAAATGAGCAACAATGATTATTTTTCCCCAATCAAAAGTACTGAAAGCTCGGTTGTTTAGGTAGAGCTAGCATAGACTCTCTGAAGCATACAGAAAGCCCGAGACATTGTCCCTGCTGTCAGAAAGTTTAGAGAAATGGAAGACATGAGAAACAACTTATAAACAGCACAGGACAGTCTGTAAGAGAGAAATCTGTTCTTCGAGATCAGAAACGGGGGCTAATGAAGCCTGGGAGAAACATAGAAGTATTACCGATATCACACTAATTTATATTTTAAAATGTTGCTTAAGTACTCTTTACTTCCTGAATAAAAACATGAATCATGACAGTTCCCCTAGCTGTAGGTTGTTTGTTTTATTATTTGTTGTATTAGTACTAGCACTGAGAGTATGTTTCTTACAATTGGCTCTTTTCTTTCTTTCTTTCATTTTTTTTTTTTTGAGAGAATTTTTGCTATGGAGTATGTGTACTTGCCAGAGATTCAGAGAAAGAGAGAAAGTGAGAAATCAATCCCCCAGGAAGGCTGGCCACACCGAAATTCCTTCCCCTACCCTGAGTTTCAAGCGACCCATTCCACGACTCAAACCAAAGTTGTCCATGTGGGAGTCCAGTGCCACAACCACTACACCACCTGCTGGCTCCTAATAGGCTCTTTTCAGTGAAGAGGAATAGATTGCCCATTACAAATAAGAGCTTCTTTCTTGCAAATGAAGCACATAGAATTAGTCTATTTGTGATCATAAGACTAAGACTAAATATCACTGTTGGCAATAAAATAATGTTCAACAAGAAAATGAAACTGAATGACATCTCCCACATATTCACTTTTTGCTATATGCTGTATTACAAAATGACTTTCCAACCTTCTAAACCAACCATTAAACCCTATGTGACAGTTCTTAAACTAAGCAAATTAAAACATTCTGCAACCATATCATTGTTAACCTCAGTAAGCAGCTTCAAATATCCAAGCAAATAAATAGTAGGGGGAAAAAGCTTTCATTTATTAAATAATATCTCCAGGAGTGGTGGGATGAAAAAGAAACCAATGCTGAAATAAGGACATTCTATTAACTTTTCCTTGAAAAATCTTACAGTTACGATAAAATATATTTATATGAAGACTAGGTAGGGACATGAAGATCATATTAAGAAGTTGAATAATTAATGTTCGACTATTCAAGCCAAAGGGATTCAGGCCTCTGGACTCAACATCTATTACCAAAATTATTGTGTCGTCGGGAAAGTTATAACACATTTTGCATAGAAAAGCATAGAAAAATATGCCATGACTTTGCTGACAACTGAAGAGAAGTTAGACAGCTCTAGAGACACAGAAATAGGTGAAAATACTTAATGGCTTCTACCCTTATTCCAAAGATAAAATCTGACCAAAAGGTAAATAAGCATTTTTTTTGAAACAGAGAACATAAACCCTGTAGCATTACAGATAGAACTAAGAAAGATCAATAAAGCATAAAAGATTTGCAAGGCAAACTGAGATGTTAATTCCTTGATTTGATGAAATGCAGGTCCATAAAATAATATTACAAAAATGGTATAATGAGACCTTAAAAAGGTCACTGAGGGTAGATTTTATCAATGGTGCAAGGATTTTATTAGATCTTAGACTACTGAGGAAACTTACTGTGATGACTCAAAGTCTCATTGGTTTTTATCTTCTCAGAATTCATCTAGATCAAGAAAAGGTTAACACCCATCGTAGGACTTACGTATGCGAAGCAAATGCATTATTTCCACAAATGTTCGAAGTGTTCAGAGACAGGGCGGGTATACCTACTGGTCATTCTGCTTTGTTAGCAAAACAGCCTAGCCTGGGCTGGATGAAGACTTACCCGGTGACCATGAGTATGCTCTTGAAGCTTCATTGTTTTTTTCCAGCTAGAAAATTACTAGGGTCAATCACAGCCCTGGCTCATTACAAATTTAGCAGCCTAAATTCAGTTATCTTATTTCTGTTGACATGACTTAAAAGAAAAACACAAAAGATAATATTCTGACCTGTTGAAGCAAAATTTAAGCTTATATAAGCAGATTCTCTAAATGAATGTCTTTAATTTCATTGTTGCTCAGGGTGACTTTAGTGATCAAGAAAAGCAGTATCCAAAAAAAAAGCTAAGTGAAGTCATTGTGGTATTCTTAACAGTCCTAAATGTCAATTTGAAGAATAGGCCGCTTCTTCTGAAGCACTCCTATTTAAAACAGAGTGGACGGCAACATTGATGGATGATCAAGGCAGTCTGAGTCACACAAGGGGACTTTATGCTTCTGCAAGCGAGGAGGAAAATGTGGAATTTTTTTCTTTGACTCTCACACAGCTATGAAATGCTGTTAGCTATTCAACATGCAAAACTGCCTACTCCAACCTAAGAGAAGATAATCCAGTCTTTCCTTCCACCTGCATTGGTAAGAACCGCAGGCTGGGAGGAAACATTTCCAAATTTCTTTATGCCGTTCTCTTTTACACCTGTTTATATACAGGTTTTTTTTTTTTTCTTGCTAACCTGTCATAGAGACATCTGTTACCTTTATAGTAGCCAACACACATTGATGTGTGTCACGCATTAGTTATGCAGTGCCAATACTCTGGGACAAATATTTTTACTAAGCTTTGTCTGAAAACTCTCTTTAGTCCCATCAGTCAGTAAAGGCACGTGAGTTGTGCCCCTCTTGACTTCAGACACTAGGAGCAGGTGATCTATGGGCTTAGTTATCATCTCCCATGCTGCTAAATGACATGCTACCTCTATGCTCCCTTGCCGGTTTTTAAACTACCATGTCAAGCACTGAGAATTAATAACAAAATATGAAGCATCCCTAATATAACCTTAATGCCCTTGTGCACCATTCTTCCATTACTTTTTCACCTTTCTGTCTCAAGCCAGGAAACTAAAAGCATTAGATACAATGCTATAAATTGAAAAATGTGGCAGTCCATGGAGGCCTTAGTACAGGCTTGCAAGATATAAGAGAATTATCATGTTACTACTGACAACTTAAATTTAATGCTTTGGTGTGTCAAAACAAGTTTTTTCAAGAGCCAATGAAGATGAGGAGAAGAGCTAGGTCCTAAAAATGCAAGTTAAAATAGTGGTTCATTGCATGTGGAGCCATATACACTGATTAACTCTTTATGTGACCTGATCATTTGCTTGTCTTTCTGCCCTGAAGAAACTTGGCTGTCCATTGCAAAACCCTCTTCATATCGATGGCATCTACTCTATTTATCACCACACAGAATCTGTGTCAGCAGATCCAATAGCCTGAGTGTGGCCCTCCCACCAAGCAGATGATGAGCTCAACCTATCCATCTCTGAAAGTGCTGAGGGAGCTTCCAGCTCAGATGGCCTTCTTGCTGATCATGTCTGAGAGTTGTTTGTTTTTGACTTTTATTTCCTGAAGTTGGCTCATTTAATACAAGATGTAGCAGAGGCAGTTTGGGCTGAGCAAGCCAATGATGACAATAACAAAAAAAATAAAGTTGAATTATAAATTTACAGTGCTGCTTTAAAAGCCAAAGACAATCACAAAGGAAAAATATTTTTCACAGCGATCAAAGAGAAAAACTGCAATACACATTTGTATGCGTATTAATACTAGTAGGCCCAAATGTAGTCTACTTTGCTGGTTGATAGAAAACAAAGGCTGTACATTCTTGAGAGGACATTAGGATTGCTTTTTAAATTCATTCGTAAAGGCTTAAAATAGTACAGATGCAATATCCATGTGAGGTTATCGTCTTCCTTGCCAAGAATAAGAGTTCCCATTTCATTCCTCAGTTCTTCATTTCTCAGGGATTGTATCTCTTCACCAATCACAAAATGTGCTATGGAGCAAGCACCAAGTTCTAGTCTTTTCCAGTCTTCTCAAATACCTGGAACATATATCTGCACAAAAACTTGTTACCAGTATTATTACCCACTCAGTGGCCCTTTGAACTGTTCTATAAGTATAACTTGGCCCAGTTTGTACAGAATATGACATCACAGAGCATGTGAGAATGATGCATCTGGGTATCCAAAGACAACACAGGAATTTCAATTTTGCTATCATTTGAATGTCCATTCAAAGGTAACCTTAGAAATTTAATATCAAAATGAATCAGATTTGAGAAATGTCATCGATGTTATAAAACATGGAAGCTTAGCAAAAAGGATTTATCTCATTACGAATAACTGTAAGTCAGTTGGTTTCCATAGAACTGATCTAATGTTGGCTGAAATGAAAATGGAAATAACATCACTTCCCCTTAAGTAGCTGAATGATTTTTTTTCATTATTATTTTTTCATGAGACAAAGGAAGTAAGAGACTGGCACTTGGGAAGATTTCACCACATCTCCTGTCTTCCAGCCAGTCAAGATCACACATGTGCCTGATGTGTCCAAGTTAACCTGGAATCTGAACCAGGCCTCTTATTGTACAGCATTAGAGAGCAGAGCACCCCACCCATACCATCTGACAGGCCTAAAATATTTTCTATAAATGTCACGTATTGAAAGCATTAGGAAAAATGTTTCAGAAATGCCAAAGAGTAAAATCATACTAGGTTATTTTCATATGAAAAGCAGAAATAAAATAATATTGAACTTCAGATAACCATTTGGTTTAGAGGATAAAAGTCAATATGAAGTTTTGGAATATGATGTAAATGACATAAAATACAAGAAATAAACCAACATCAAGAGCTATAATTTAACTGATTTTAAAAACATTTTAAGTATATTCTCATATAAAAAGTACTTTGTAAGAGGGGAGGCCATAGATAAATTTGCAATTTATTTTGTCTGAGTTTATATAAAAGAGTTCCTCTGAGAGGAAAAAAAAATATTTATTTATATATTTATTTATTTATTTTGGAGAGGTTTTTGCGCTCACCAGAAAGACAGAGAAAAACAGAGAGACAGAAAGTGAGAAATCACCCCCCAAGGGGGATGGCCACACCACAATCCCTTCTCCTCCATTCTCCTCTCAGGATCCTGGGCACATACTCACACATGCACACACGCCTGGTATGAGTTTAAGCTATTGGGTCTGGGACTCAAACTGTGGTCGACTACATGGGAGTCCAGTGACATGGCCATTTTGCCAACTGCTGGTCCATGAGAGGAAAAATTTTTGATGATTGTAGTGAAAAGAAAATCCTTATATCTTACGATTTAAATTTTTCAATATTTATTTTGTAAAAATCATAATTCCTTCTGGAGTTATCTTGTCAAGAATAAAGTTTGTCCTTTTGATGTGGAAAACTAATAAAACTCTTAATAATAACTGATACAGGTTCCAAGTATCCTGTAAAATTTTGTGGGTATTATTTATGTATTGGAGATGTGAAGTTTTTAAATTAACAACATGCATGAGGAGACTTCAAAAAGTTTGTGGAAAATGTAATTAAAGTATGAGTTTATTTGGTGCAAAAATTTGTAAATACATGCATAATTTATTTTTATAAATAGTGCATTTTTCATAATTTTTTAATACTCCCCATATTTACATCACACCTGAAGATATTATATTATTTCTTCTAATAATTATCAATAAGAGGAAAGCCTCTTAATGGCTATATAGAATCCCCCCTTATATATGGAAGATGCATTCCAAAATCCCCAGTGGATGTTTAAAACTGCCAGTAGTACTGGACTCTGTTTAGTCTATGTTTTTCCTCTGCATACCCACACATTATTCATAACTTAGGGACGGTAAGAATTAACAACAATAATTAGCAATAAAATAGAAAAATTATAATAATGTGCCATCATCACTACTCCTGTGTTGGAGAGCATTATTAAGTAAAATTAGGGTTACATGGAAGCAGGCACTAAGAAACCAATCTGATAATCCAGAAAGCTACTTAAAGTGACTAACAGGTGGGTAGTGTGTATTATACAGTGGGAAGACCCTAGACAAAGGATTATTTCGTGTCCTAGGCAGGATAGAGCAGCTGGCACAAACTCATGCTGATACTCAGAGCAAATGTGACTTAAAATGTATTAATGGTTTATTTCTAGAATTTTCCATATAATATTTCCAGACCAAGATTGACTATAGGTAACTGAAACCATGGAAAACAATAGTACAGATAATGAATAGCAGTTGTATCTATTACTCTTGGATCTGTAGATTTAATTTTAACTTTTAATAAAATTTATTTGAAGTGTTCAGTTCAATAAATATGATTTAATGGGTTAAAATGCTGCCTTCAAGTGGGTTGCATCTAGAAGATGAGATAAACACTAGATGAATATTAAATGTTGTATCTTGGCACTTGGTCTGGTCTATGCCTGTTTACCAACCAGCGTTTGTCCAACATGAAAAGATAGGCAGTTTATTAGCCCCACTGTTTACTCAGAAATGGAGTTGCTAAGACTTTAGACAGTATACTCAAAGTCATATCAAAGTTTCCCTTTATTGTCTTAGTTAAGTAGAAGTACATCTTTTAATGGGTTCTTGTGCCAGCAGGAGAGTAAATCTCATAACTTCATTAAAACACTTTGGTTCCATTCAAAAAACATTTATAGAAAACTACCATATGCTGGGTACTATAATAACTCCTAGAGTTATAAATAAGACTGGGCTAGTACTCCCTGGGGGTCCTCCGTCAGACGAAGCAGATGTGAATAGTCCAGCAAGTCTCTTGAGTGTGTACCTGTCTGTGCCATGGCCCTTCCATTTAAAGACCTAGAAAGTGACAAGGATACCACACAGACCCTGTTCTAACACTTTCCTATGGAGAAATAGAGGAAGAGGATAACACGGTTGTGTGCTGGGATCAACACATCAAGACACAGTCCCTCAGCTCTATTTAGAAATAGTTCCATCGAATCCCACAATTGGGAGCTTAAAAAGTGCATTGTAATGTCACTTTCTAAAGGGGTTAGAAAGTTCCAAAATGTAGGAATCTGCTACATCTCTTAAAATTGACTTTTGGGGACCAGCAGATGGCATAATGGTTACATCAATGCACTTCTGTATAGTCAACCATGGTTCAAGTCCCAGTTTTAGAGGCTTGAAGCACATAGGGCACGTGTGTATGTATGCCCAAAATCCCAAGAGGAGAATGGAGTAGAAGGGATGTGGCATGGCCATTCTCCTGGGAGGCTGATTTCTCACTTTTTGTCTCTGTCTCCTGTGAGTGCACACACCCTATAGCAAAAAAGGAAAAAAAAAAAAAAAAGACTTCTGAACATTGTTAATAAATCTAGAGTGGATATTCTCAGATTTGAAAGTCTCTTGTAGGGTTATCCTCTATGTAATTGGAAGCAGTGGTTTAATGGGTAGATCTATGTCTCTGTTTCGCTAAGGGCCAAGGAGACACTGGCTCAAGGAGTTTAAGGGAAGGAAAATGAGGCTATAAATCACAGGTAGGAAATTTCATTTTTGTCTATCAGTCTCAAAAAAACAGAGATATGTGCTACGTGCTAGTTGAACACCAAAGAAAGATTCCTAGCCTGAATGGTGAAGTTGTGTGGGGAAGAATGGAGAGAACTCTTTCCAGATAAATGATATCTCAGTCTTGAAAAGCTATTACTTAACCAGGAGCAGTAAGCGCTCAAAGAAGGAAGTGTTGTGTGCTCAAGGACACAGAGATGTTGGAACCGTAATTGTTTTTATCAGAGCCCTAAATGTAGTCAACAGCTATGTAGTCAATGTCTATTCTAAAGGGTAATAATGATCACTCAATTTTTAAAATGATCTCTGTCAGCCAATTAATTCAAAATTTTAATACCTGATTTAAAGCTAGTATAGTAAGTGATTGTAGGCACTTATTAATTTCAGAAGACAGCAAAAGAGGAAGATTCATTATTAATCTTAGAAGACTGCAAAAGGGGAAGATTCGCGTTCATAAACAATTGTCTGTGGTGTATGAGGAACTGCTGTTCTCTCTTACTGAATTGAAAGCCCTGTGATACAGGTTTTTGGCTTACTCAGAGCTCTGACTCCAGCATTTAGAACAGGAACTGATTATACCTAAGGTTATATGGTTATATAGTAATAAGCAGCGATTTAGTGATAAAGAAGAATAGATTTGTAACTGTCCTGTGGAGCTGACACTCTTATACACGGATTTAACCTAGATTGGGAGAAAGAGAGTTGTAAACTTGCACAGAAAAAAAAAAAAAAGCCACCTGAA